GGCATTCATACGAGCCTCTATTGGAAAACCTTTTAAGGTCAGTGAGAATAAATAATCCTATTTCCTTAAATGGTGTCCCTTGAAGAATGGCATTGATTTTCTACCAGAAAATGTAGAAACTAAAAACTTAAAATTTATCATTAAAGTGTTAAAACATCTATTATCCTGACTCCTGTTACCTGAAATTACCCAGAAGTACAATAAAAATAACTATGAGTACAAAAACTAAATAAATGTTGAATGCCTAAATTTCTTATGATTGTGTAATTGGGATATGTAATAAAACATTTTACATCAGTCTTGGCAGTGACAATTTTCAACATCTTTGTATCATCTGGAAGTAGTTAAAATGCTGCTTGTTATTAAATGTTCTAGATAAGACAGTAGGTGAGGCTGTCACTGCAGAGGACCACTAGAATTGTGAATGTGTAACTTCTATATTAATGGCAAGGAAATGAGAAACAAGTCAGTCACCATCCAAAAAAGATGAGAAAAAAGAAGGGAGATAATAGAAAACTAGACAGATGTGACCTGCTTAGAGATACGCCACAGAAAGGGTGAGAGAAAAGCAGATGGTAGTCCATGGAGAGGTGGTTTATTAACATCAGACCAAGTAGGCTCTTTTTGAGACAGAGCCTTGGTATGTAGTCTAGGCTGGCCTTGAACTCACTATGTAGCCCAGGCTAGCTTCAATACTGTGGTGTCCTCTGCCTCAGCCTCCTAGGTGCTGGGATTATAGGGGTGGGCCACCATGCCCAGCTAGTAGCAGATTTTTAAGGCAAAAAGTATTCTGAGAAAAGATTGAGTTTAAGAAGATAACCCAGCAACATGGTCTCAAAATACAGAAAGCAATTAGACCCCCAGAAAACCAAATAACTCCTAATTAATTTGTGGGGGATTGTTGTCTCTATCACTAACTTGAACAATAAGCAAAAAAAAAAAAAAATCAACAACAAAAAAAAACAGTGAACTTCATGGATAGGAGATACACATGAAAGTGTTTAGCAGTGGCCATGGTTTAACTTTACCCACCAGATACCAATCACATGTCCCCAGTGTCAGGCAGGGAGATAGCTCAACAGCATAAATGCCTGCGTGGCAAGCACAAGATCCCCAGTTTGGTAACAAAGTCTTCAGGCATTGACAAATATTCCTGGTGCAGGAGAGGCAAAATTACCCCTGGTTGGTGGAACTGCTATGCAGTGGTGAGTACCTTGCCATCCTCCAACTGCATGAAGCTGATACTACAGTGAGTATTTCATAGAGGAGCTAATGAGCACAGTCAGTGGGTGGAGTGTGAATTTCAGCGTGCTCTTTTCTTCCCTGTGTAATTGACCCTGCTCTTCTGTGCCTGTTTCCTTGGTTGTAAAATAAGGACATAATGGTGCCTATTTCATGGCGTCAACACACTGGATGAAATAGGGATGTGAAGTACTTAGAGGAATGTTTGGCATGGACTAGATGCATAGTATTCACTTATTTATATTAGTAAATAAACCACAAACAAGTCTGGACAGTATTTCTAAACATCAGTTTTGTAAGGAAGAAGAGGATTGTTCTCTGTACTCCCAATCTAGATTTTTTTCTTTTTTCTTTTTTTTTTTTTTGCCATAGTTTTATTGATAAATAGCAATGAGACAGTTTCAAATCAAATCGGTAGGACAGTTTCAATAATTAACACACTGCATACATTCTTCCTAGTGGTTAATTGCTGTACAAGATGTGGACTTGATATCCTATTTACAAACACCATTAGAACAAATCATTCTATTCATTAACAGAATGTAACTATATATCTATCCCAACCACTTCGAATACACAGTTACAAAATGGACAATCATCTGTATACCCCTTTTTTGTTAAGTTCCGTTATTTGAATATTATAGGTGTGTAAACTCAGCAAAATATTCTAAAAGAGTCCAGTATCCCATAATAGTATTGGGTCTTCCGTTTAACTGGCAATGTCAGAAATTGTTGACCTGAGTCTCCCACAGCTCAACATAACAGCATGGCTTTATTTCTTATATTTCATTTTTATACTTTTCTTCTGGATGGTTACGACCAAGGTAAAGCAGGACCTATGCAACAAGAGTTGTAGCTTTTGGGTCTGATAAGGTCAGTGAAATCCCCAATCTAGATTTTTATTTGCTGGTCTGTTTCTAAAATTAGGAAAGAGACATGGCTAGCTAACAGTGGTGGTTACCTTCAGGTCCCAGATCTTGTGATGATGTGATTGTGTGCTCAGAGTAGTAGAAAAATGGTTTACTTCATTGTATTCTGGCAGTTGTAAATAACTTAATATTGGAAATTAAAATTTTAAACTATTTTATAATACATAAAATTATTACCAAAGTGAATATGTCAGTTTGTTTAGAATTTTAAAATTTATGAGTTTGCTATATTATTTTATTGCTGTGAACTACTATATACTCTGTAGGGTGAGCTCTCAAAAGTGATAAAGTAGTTGCAAACTGTTCATGATTAAATGTTTAGGACATAGTGTGAAACACGATTTGAAAAACTACTATGGATTCACTATGTCTATTTCCAAAAATCCGAATTCTAAATTGTTCCAATATCCCAAAAATGTTGAGCTTTGATATAAATATTTCTTTTTTTCCATAATTTTATTGATAAACAAATAGCAATGAGACAGTTTCAAATCAAATTGGTAGGACAGTTTCAACAGATATAAATATTTCTGTATCAAACAAAAGAAAAAATCTGAACTGTTCTGATTCTAAGCACTTTAAAAAAGGGGAAATCAACCTTTATCAGACAAGGTAAATGTAGACTAACAGTAACTGCAAGAATCAGTGGAGCAGAGAAGCGCTGTTAGTTAAAAGCAATCTGTTATTGTTTCTTGCATTGCTTCAGAAGTTTAAATTGCAAGATGTGGAAAGTGTTTTTTGCTCTCTCTGCTATTTATGAAGTAACAAAAAAATGACTACTTTAAATTTATTTTAAAATAGTTTAATGTTTTATTTTCTCATCAAATAAGAATTTTAAATATAGCTGGGTATGGTGGCACACAACTGTAGTTCCATCACTAGGAGGTAGAGGCAAGAGGATCTCCACAAATTTGAGGCCCATCTGGGTTACGTAGAGTTCACGGCCAGCCTGAACTACATAATGAGATTCTGTCTTAAAAAACAAAAACAACAACAAAACAACTTTAAATGTAAGCTGTTCAATGGAGGGGGAAAATCAGAATATTCTGATAAACAAAAATAACCCTCCCTGTAAGAATTGTAACATTATTTATTCTCACCAGAAATGTGCCAAACTGTGTATACTAAACATTTGAATTTTTACCAGTCTGATCTTGGAGAAATAATACCTGTAGTTTAGATTTGCACTGTTTGATTGAGATTAAACATCTTTTAATGCGTTTAAGGGCCATTTTTACAACCTCTTATGAATTTGTTGACTATATCTTTTGTCTTTTTTTTCACCTTTAAAAAAATGTTCTTCCCTTTCTTTTCTATGAATCCTTTAAGTGTTTAGGGTACAAAGACCTGATGTACACACACACACTTCTTCCCTGGGGTTGTTGTAGTGTAGGAGTGCTGATTCTTTGGCTACTACTTCTCTGTGTGGAGTTTAAGGGCAGTTCATAAGGATTGTGAGAGCCCAGGTGGAGTTGGCATGGTTGCTTCAGGGCATTCATTCATTCACATTGGATCCTTTTCCTGTGTCTGTCCCTCAGGCGCAGAACGGAAATTGTAGAATAAGCAAGACAGTGCCTGGGAGGTTATAGTTTAGTGAAGATTAAAAACATAGGTAGGGATTTTTAAAACCATTGGATTTGTGAAAATGCTGTGTAATTGGTCGCAGAGACTGCATGGTCAGGAGGTCTTAGGGTAGTCTGTTAAGTATGGTTGCTTTAACTGGCTTTTAACTAGGACTCAGGCATATGAAAATTTCATTAATACCTCCCCCCAGTTGAGCTAATTAGGCACATAGAAATAACCTCTCACATGGTGCAAATGTCAGTTCAGGGTAGAAGGAAAACAATGGAATGTTTTTTAGGTGATTTGAGCTTTAATAGAACTAATTTTTCTTTAAAAGCAATAAATACAGCATTTTTGTGTGTTTGCTAGCTTAATTTTTAGTTTTAAAAACATTTTCATTTTAAAAATTTAAAAATACTTACATAGTGTTATTTTAAACAACTCAGTGCAATTAATTATTACTTGAAATACAGATGAGATTATCCAAATTAAAAATTTAAACTGAAGTAAGTAGCTTAGTGTTGATAATGAAATATTCAAATATTCACATAAAATGTTTTGATGAGATAAACAAATGCAAAATAATGTGCACATAATCTGAAATTAAATGAAGCGTTTTTGTTTGGGGCAGTTTTGGAGATTAAACTCCAGGGTCTTTGCACTGATCTACATCCTCATACCTTTTGTTATTTTTAACTTTGAAACAGGATCTTGCTAAGCAGTGCCCGGGCTTGCAATCCTCCTGCCTCAGCCTTATGAAGTGCTAGGATTATAGGTGTGATAACTATGTTTATGTATAATAGAATACCTTAGTTTACTTCATGGTGTATAAATTGGGAAGATAATGTAGCACAAAGAATACTCTGTCTTTATGACTTGTAGAAATAGAATTTTCTCCTATGAGGGCTAGTACATTTTTCAGGCTTTGGTTAATAATGTATCTTCAAATAAGTGTTTGAAATGCCTTTTAAAATGCTTTATTGTAGTCAGATTATAGACCAGAAAAAATGGTCTATAATTTAGTTTTTAATAGCTTCTGTGACCATTAATTTCTAATTAGTATATAGTTGTATGGGTCAGTTTCTTACACAAGCAGGAGGGGAAGATAGATAGTTCTTTGATGGTTGGTTGTATTTGCACTGAGCTGGAATCTTAAGACATGAGCCACGCTACATATTAGATATCTACCCAGCATGTCCTCCTCAGTTGTCCTTGACGTTACTTGGGAAGGCAAATGAATTCATAGGAATTTGCCTTGTGTTTCAGACACTGGCCAAAAGAAATGCTCAGAGAAGAAAGATGGGAGACGGATGTCTTTCCAGAAGCCTAAAGGGGCTGTGGAGTATACTGTAAGTTACCTGCTTCTGAAAAAGCGGCTTCCATTGGTAATGATCTTATTTAGGGCTCCCTCCACTTGTAGTGGGAGTAAGGAAAGCACTCTTAATTGCCTTATGTTAAAAAACTGTACTCCCTTTGGGTAATTTTTATTGTTAGTAATTCTAAAAGGCCTTTATTTGGACATTTATTTTTTTCATTTTTTTATTCTTTAATTCCACATGCCAAATTCTAAAGGAAATGTATTTCTAAAGCTAAGTAAAATTCCAGTTTATATTCTATTCTTATAGTAGTCTCTAAAATACAAAAGATTTATGGAGAATTCATTTAACATCTTTAAATGACATGACTTTTTACTTAGGATGATACGTATTTCTCATAATACATACATTTATATAAGGATATACTCACCAAATTTGTTTCTCCTAGAATCTTTATGATTTAGCTCAAGTGTATTTCTAGAGCACCTGTATATGGCACAAATAACCTGAAGGTATGAATGTAAATGTACTATAAGTAATCTAGCCTTAAATTTGTATATGTGGGTATACTGCCTAATTGTACAGAGTGAAATTACTGCTGGTGGGGATCAAAAGTGTATCTTACAACTGCTGCAAGATACTTCCTCCCTTCCTAAGATTCCTGTGACTTTCCACTAAGATACTCTTCTGATTTATCAGGCCCAGTAGATGATTCTACTTCCTGTTCTTCCTTCATTTTTTCTCATTTTACTTCCTTTTTCTTGAGGTTATATTCTTCAATGAGTATAACTGGAAAATCAGATTATGTCTCAAAAATCTTCATTGCACCCTCCTTGGCAATCTAGCTGACTATAGATTTGTAGGTTGACAATTATTTTTCTGTCAGCATTTTGAAGACAGTTAATTTGTTGTCTTGTGTTCTTTTGCCCTGTTTTTGTTCAATTCTAAACAATCTTTTTCTGGGTTGCTTTTAAGTTTCCTCTTTATGGTTCTGTAGTGCCACTGTGATAAGCCTAGATTTACACATTTTATTTTATTTATATTGGTGGTGGTTTCTTAAACTTAGTAATTATATCATCTGTGAATTTCAGAATAAAGCACTCTTGCAGTACATCCTCCCCTCCTGCATCTCTCTTCTCTTCTCAGAGCCCTGCTTCATTCTGGAAATGAATTGTGCTCTACTTGGTTGTCATTGTCCTTCCCTGCCCTGTGCTCCTGCTGTCATTGTCATTGTGTCTTTCTTCTGTATTGCTGGATGCCCTTCTCTTCTCGATTTCAAATGTGGGTGGTCCCTCCCTTGCTGCTTTTTAACTTTTTTTTTTTTCCTGCTGGGGATCAAACTCAGGACCTTGAACTTGTGCCTGCCAGGCAAGTGCTTCTGCCACTGAACCCTCTCCCCACCCCTTCTTTTCACTTTCTCCTGGTGTTGATTCTGTTACTTGAAGAGCTTGAGAACTTCAACTATATGGAATAAGGTCAACTGGTGTTCTCTTCTTACCTATCTAGAGTCTTATTGCTATTAGCACTCATATTTAGCTAATTATAGAAAGCCTCGTTTTCCTACATCCTTCTGCAGTGCTCAATTTTCTTACTTCCATCCAGTCTGTTACTCTTCGCTTTAAAGTCAGCATCAGCCGTGCTGTCACCCTTGCTCCCCTTACTTTACTGCCATGACTCATGATTCCATTCAACCTTTGGGTGCTTGCTGTTGAGTCTTGGTTGGAAATTTGCACCTTCATCTCTCTCTTTACACGCTGCACCATAGACCTAGTGGGTGCAGGAGATGCATTTGGTTTTTGTGCATGTATTCTTTCATCCCACTAATCTTGGACCTGTTGCTTATGTAGCATTGAAAGGTGCCACTAAAGCGCTCAGATTCCTGTGCTTTATAATTGTTGATTTTTAAATTACCTTTATCATCATTCTAAAGGGCACTGTGAGGATAAAATGTGTGATTAATATGAGTTTACTTTGAAAACTTTCAGGTACTACTGCAAAATAATGTGATCTTTTACATTATCTCAATAAAGTAGATGGTATATATGAGCATATTGTATAAATGAATCGGTTTGCACAGATGGAAGGAAGCAAAACTAGATTACCTCAAGTGTTTAGGATAAATTTTGGTTGTCCAGAACCATTAACGAAAATGTGTATTTTCTGTATTTTTACCCACCACCCACATGTCTGCTTGTCCTGGTTTCTGAGTCTTCTGCAACATAATTCTAAGTGTCTTTCAGCCCTGGCCTTTTAAGAGATTTCCGTCCAGGTACTCACTGTCCTTGAAATCTGTGTTTCATATAGATGCTTCAGATGGGTGGCTGAGGAGGAGATAGTACCCCACAGGCATGTGGTTTTTTGTGCCTCTTAGCCTTGTATTGTCCTTACTATGAAACTTTTTTTTACATTCTCTCTTCTTCTCCAGTTGTTTTCTCTTATTCAAACTCAGAAATCTTCACTGCAAAGTCTTTGCTAGATGTTTGGAGCGCAAGGTGCCTGACCACACTCAGAACTTCTGCTGCCTCCTGGTTCTGTTGCGGATTGTGCTTCATTCTCTGTATAACCTTCTCTGTCTGCTTTACATCAATAATACAGGAGTTCATTCCTTGAGTGCTAAAGCCATGCAGGTGCATTTCGCGCTATTCTGGTTAGCGCTATCATAAGGTCTTGGGTAAGGAGGATGGACCCAAGCGGAATACACTGATTACCAAGTGGTCTTTTCTTTTGGGATAATTGACAAAATCCTATTAGCTAAAATTACTATAAATGTGATTGTGAGATTATAGTGATGGTTCAGAAACAGAGCTCAGTTTTGATTCAGATATTTTTCTGATTTACATGCATAAATGACAAAATATATATACATAAAGATTGTTAGAAGTAGTATTTTGAATTTAATACAGGTATACCTCGCTAAAGTAAAATTATGATGTTTCTTGAAGTTGTTTATATTCTACAAACTACTTAAAGGAATGCTATGTTATTTAATGCCTTTTAAAGTAAAAGTTATTTGTATAAGTTTATATTTTGAAATAGTTTGAGTCAGAGACCCTCATATGTCGTGATAAAGCATAGTCCAAGATCATTTGTTAACAACATACAGCATTTCTTGACAGTTATGTCCAAAGATGAAAATACTGTTTATTCAGCAAATACAAGATTGCTTTCAAAATTTAATTGGTCATTAAATTTTACAATTTAATTTTTCTGTTTTGACAGATTAAAATAATTCATTTTTCCTTTTAAATAGGTTGAATCAAGAGATTCCTTGAATAGCATAGCCCTGAAATTTGATACAACACCCAATGAACTTGTTCAGCTAAATAAGTTGTTCTCCCGATCAGTCGTGGCTGGACAGGTATTGTCTTTGTTTAAATGTGTGATATTTGAGTCATTAAGGAGAAACTATCCATTTCATTTAATAGAGGATTTGAGAAGCATAATTTTATGTGTGCTGTAAACATATTGGCTCTGTGTCTTTATCTCTAATTGTAAATTGATCTCTCAAATAAGATATTGCTTTGGTTTAAAAAATTGTCCAGAGCAGCATTATGCACAGGTGTATGATTAAAAATTTCAACATTTTAAAGGTAAGTTATCTTTTTTCAAATTTATAATTTATTTTCTACTTGCAGAAATAATTGTACCATGTTTTGAGGAATTTTGTTTATTTTCTTATTCTGAGTTTCAATTTGAAAATGTTCCATTTAAGCACAGCACTTTTTCATGTGTACCTACGATGTGCTGTGTTACTATGTGTCATAGTTTGTTTAACTAATTGCTGTAAGCTTTAGGGTGTTTCTACTTATGCTGATGCTAGCATTGCTATATTGAGTACTATGATACCTCTCTGTTTATATTTATCTGTATGTCTTTCTTTGGGTAAATTCCTAGAAGTGAAATGGCTAAGTCAAACAGATACGCACATTTTAACTTTCGTTAACTATTGCCAATTTGTCTCCAAAACAAAGGACTCTGGTATTTGAGAATTATTGTTTCCCACCTTGTCTTGATAATATGTTGTATCAAAAGTGTCTCAATTGATTTGGAATAATCTTCATTTTTATCATGTTATTCTTATTATGATAATAGTATTTACAATATGAATTTTTTTATTTTTTGTATTTATTACTGAAGAACATTTTAATGGTGCTTGCTCATTACGCACATTCTGATTACTAACATCACAGTTTAACTGAATCTTTATGTGATATTTTCTTGGAGGTTTTGTATGTTCCTGACCCTGAATATGTCTCCAGTGCTGAGAGTTCTCCATCCCTGAGCCCCATAAGTCCTCTGTCACCAACATCATCTGAGGCTGAATTTGATAAGACTGCTGTAAGTACCATGCCTTAAAGACAGCTGAGGAGAAATCTCTCAGTATATGCTACATTACTCATGACTTTTGTCCTGCTCTGTGGGTAGGATTAAATCACAGCTTTTCATCTTGTTAAATTTGTCTCAGTTTTTAAAAAAGACATTCTTTCAATAAACTAGATAGTTTAAATGGATATACCTTTTGTGGCAGTGGTCCAGGGTTACTCTGTAATGAAAACACTTATGTAATTTGCCTTACAAAGGTATTTTGCCTAGAAAACATGAGATTATCATATTAGGAAGTATCTGTCCAATTTGAATTTTATTTCTATTTCTGTGAAGAGAAAATGCTAGTACTTAGAACTCTTAAATGAGTTCATTCTTGATAGCCTGTTTTTTTAAGATAATAAGTTATTATCTTAGTCATTCTTTCAAGTTTTAACATAATATATCAGTTTATCTAGCATCAATAAGAAATGTGCAATCTGTACATATGATGTTTTACAAATGAATTTCAAAGAACCAAACTTTATTAATCAGTTTGATTGTCCTCTCTGAGAGGAATTGTATCTCTTTGACGTGACTGTATACATCAGTACTCACCACAGTTTCCTACTTTCATAAAGGGCTCTTGTTTCCATGTCCAGGATTGTTCCTGCGCTCAGTGCCTGGGCTCCTGCAGGGCTCCTCGTGTGACTTTTAAGACATGCTTTTCTTCACTGCCCCATTTGGCCTCATAATGTTTATGACAAACTGGCAACAAAATAAAAAATGATTAATTAATTTACCCTCAATTACTCATTTCCTGAGTTCCAGTATTGCACACTTACTTTCTAAGTGCTATTATTATACTTCTTTTGTGGAATAATTAGATATTATTATTAATAACTTTTTATCCTCACATAGGGACTTTTTCTTCTGTGTGGTGTGTGTGTGTGTGTGTGTGTGTGTGAGAGAGAGAGAGAGAGAGAGAGAGAGAGAGAGAGAGAGAATGAAATAAAGGTGTGAGGTCTTTTCCTAAATGTTTTACCTGGTACATTCCTTATGTGTTTAAAGATGGAAACACTGTAACTGTAGAGCACATAAAAGGAATGAGGGTGAAAATATTCTCTTACCTGATGTGCTTGGGGACACAAGTGTTTCAGCTTTCAGACAATTTTTAGATTTTGAAATGTCAGCGTGTATGTAGTGAGATATCTGGGGGACAGGCCCCACTCCACACAGGGGTCCACATCCATTTTTTGTGCACCTTAGCCACAGAGCCCAAGGGTGATGTCACACACTTTTAGTGTGCCTGAGTTTTGGCTACAACCAGTTGCTTAAGGTCAGATTTAGAACTTGCCACTTGTGGCCTCATAGCAGTACTCAGGAAATTTTGAGTTTTGGAGCATTTCAGATTTCAGATTTTCATTACTAGGAATGCTCAGTCTGTATACATTGTCAATTTTGATGAAGAATAGAAATCAGGTTTTACTGATGGTTACTGCTGAGTAAAAGAAAAGGGGCAAGAAAAAGTTTTTCAGTATAGGCCATACCATTTCCCAAGGGATTTATAAAGAGCTAAGAGCTGTGATTGAAAACAAAGTTAAATTAAAAAATGGATTACAGTAAAAGACATGCCATCATGAATCCCCCTTGGAATACTCTTCCCTCTCTTATCCATCACTTGGCACTTCCTGAAGCAGCTCTGAAAGTCCTCTTTTGTGAGTGTCTTTAGTTGTGCTATTGTAGCTGCCTTGATGTACTGAATCAATTAAAAATATTTCTCTTTTATACAAATTTTTGGCCTCTTAAAGAGCCGGAAGTTGGTACTGATGAGTAAGGTAGATGAGGACACACAGTCGTGATGTGAGGAGTCTGCCTTTCTATAGCATGGCACTTGGCAAAAGCATTCAGTTGTATTTTTTATCACACTTCTCTTCATACACTCACAAAAGAGACTTCCAGAACTGCTTCAGAAAGTGGCAAGAGTGATGGGCTAAGTGTGTTTAAAGTAAGGGATGGGAGAGTATATTTTGAGGTGAGTCAATAGCACTGTGTCTTTAACTGTACTAAAGCTTTTTAAAATTTAAAATTAAACATTTCAGTCCACCTTTGTGTATGCATAAGGGGGTAATTTCAAAAGAAAGCCGAGCAGCACTGGGTTAATTTAGCTTGTATTTTAAACCTTAAAGCAGAATTATGTAAAAAGATAAATGCTAAATCTTTGCAGACAAAAATCCCGTGGGGTCCCTTCCTGTCCCTCAGCTTTAAATATCTGCTTGCCCCTTTGCTTTTTTTCTTTCTTTTTTTTTTTTTTTTTTTTTTTTTTTTTTGGTCTCTTTGACATAGGGTCTCGATAGGAGACCCTGTGCAGTTCAGGCTGGCCTTCAACTTATTTTGTAGCCTGAGCTGGTCTTGAACTTGCAACAATCCTCCTGCCTCAGCCTCCCGAGTACAGGGATTACAGGTGTGTGCTACCACATCTGGCCCCTTTGTTTTTATGGCAAGCTTAAAATGTAAGAAAAGGTCCATTTAGGGGAATGGTCAGGTTTCCTCCTATGTGAAAATGTTCTTTAGCCTGGGCTATAAAAGCTGGAGCAAGAACTAAAGCCTGGTCAAGCCTCCTGGCAAAGGTGGCCCCAAAGCATCCTTTAATAAGAAGACTCCTGTGAGTATATTCATTCCCTGAGGCCGGTCAAGGAAAAAGATCCGAGGTAAAAGTTCTTCAGTGTCCTTTCCCCAGGATGATAGCCATCAACTTCTTTCCAAAAGATGGTATGCAGTAGTTAGAGTAGCATTTTTTGAAGTGATTTTATACTCTTTAGTTGTAGTTTTACAAATTATGTTCATTATCAGACTCTAAAATATTCCTGTGTAGCTATCTGTATATTTCTTTCTTTCTTTTTTTTTTTTTGTGAAACCGCGGATTGAAGTCAGGCCTTTGTGCTTGCCTGGGAAGCACATATTCCACTGAGCCATCTCCCCAGCCCCTGTATATTTCAAGTGCTAGTATTTTCTGCATAATTGTTAGATTTTTCTTCTCTACTTCATATTTTTTAATGTATGTTTTGAGAAGTAAGCATATTGTTTTATTAAGTATAGATAATATTTATATTAAATAATATCAGCATTGATTTTAACTATATCTTCTCAGAAATTGTTACTTCATATTTCTAATGGCCACTAATAGTTTCCGAATGTCCGCCTTGGTAGGGGTAGGGGTTTATCTGTGAGCCTCAAATATTTGGCTCCTGGCTTCATTAGGATATATAGGCTCCTGGCTTCATTAGGATATATAGTTTGATTTTTTTTTGAACAATTTGTTTTTGTATAAAAATATAAGCTGTGGAAATTTACAGGGCAAAACAATTTTTTGCCCTTTTTCTTCAGTCTTGGATGAAGTATTGTAGGAGATGGAACCCAAGCAAGAGTGAAGAAAGATGAAAATAGCTAAAATTAACTGCATCAGGTACAGTTCTGAGCATTTTTGAAATGATTTTCATTCTGATTTCGGTTGTATGAGTTGACCTGTGGCCTGGACACCCGTGTGGGTCCCTCCTGATACCCCACACCTCTGTCTTCCTTGGGCAGCAGCAAATAGCACTGGACTCCCATGTTGCCTTCTATCTGTGACCTTTTAGGAGCTGGCAAAAGATCTGTGTGAAGGAAAGAGCAAGATGGCGCTTGCTCTCCTCCCACTCTCTTTCTTCAGAGCCTTCCCCTGTCATCCCTGCCTCCGAAGCTTTAGGCCCTTGTACCCCTCCTTACCTCTTCAGGAAGTGTTGCCCCAAGGAAGCCTCTGGCCTTTGCTCTAGTGTTTTGTAGTCTTGCGTCTGTAGTGTTCAGCTTTCTTAAACTCAGTCTGACACACTGACCGATCCACTCTTCTATTTGACAGAGGAGGAAACTGAGGAGGAGAAGCTAACTAATTTGCCTCTCAGGTCTCTCAGGAAGCTAGTAGCAGAGCTAGATCTTAGTTGGTACAGTCTGTGTCACTCGTGTGTACTGGAATTGATGACTCAGAAACTACAGTTGCTCAATAAATAATGGATCCCAAGAAATAAGTAATGTTTAATCATTGTAAGTGGATGTAGGGGGTAGCAGCCACTTCGCACTCTTCTCTGAGGGCCTTTAACTTCCTCAACTTTTTATGAATAATAGAACCTACTTTTGTTTCCTACTCATTCTCACCTTTATTCTATTCATTATGCTAATACCATTTAAAGTTAGAACTACTGTGATATACTTAGAAATTCACAATAAAAATGTTTAAAATAATGTTGGAAATATAATTTTTAATTTTTATGCATGCTTCTATTAATATACTCCACTGAAGGGATAGTTATTCATTAAACAGTGTTTTATAATCAGTCTAATAGATGAGAGTAAAAGTAGAATTTTTATTAATAACAGTTGGATTGAAATATGCATCATCGTAAGGAAATATGTTGGATATTATTAAGACATTCTATAAAAGACCTACATGAAATCCTAATGGAGGAAAAAATATTTTTAAAAAGATGATGGAGTTTAGGTGCATTAAATCTCTTCAAGCATAGATAATGCTTATACTGCTGTAGTTGTTATCTTCTGTTTAACAATTACTTTGTTTTGAGCACTTTGAAACATTAATCTACAATAAACGATCATCCATGTTTTTAAAGTGAAGAAATTAAAGACCTAGAAAGAAAAGTGACTAGTCCACACAGTCACGCAGCGAACGCGAGGTAGGGCTCCGGGATCCTCTGGCATCGGTGCGGCCAGCGTTGTGTTCTTCCACCCTGGGACTGGCTAAGGCGCAGGCGCCGAGGACTGACAAGGAGCAGACTCCCAGCAGGGAACCCGCTCTGCAGTCAAACAGGTGTGGGCGGAACGCACCAAATTTTTGTTTGACCAAAGCAAAACTAAAAGCTTATAATTCAGAAGTGTTGTATAAAATAATGACAAGGTGAACAGAAGCAATTTTTAATGTCGCTGGACTTTCAAATAATGCTGTTCTGCTGTTTACATAACTTTAAGGTTACTAGGTGGCTGTATTC